CCGGTGTTAGATCCTCGTTGCGATCGATGATTGAGGTGAAAATATCATAGAATGACGACCATTTTTCAATTGTCCCATCGAATGTGGGCAGGCGCATTTCTGGAAGTTTGATAGCCATGGGTGCGGAAATTGTAAGTGCTAGTGAATTTGTCGTCGCGCGCGCAGTAGAAATCGTAGGTCGATCGCTGTCCAGAAGGACCGTGGCGCGTGCGATTATGGCGTAATAGTCGTTCTGAATTTCATACCGGCGATTGTTCTCGGATTCGTCGAGTTCTTCTAATTCAAATTGTACATCGTCGAACTTCTTCCAGTTTTCTTGGAGTCCGTTGAAATGTGCTTGTAAGAAAGCGAGATTTCGTTGACCGGAAGCTGAGTAATTATCGAGAAATTTGGAGAACGCGGTGATTTGACCGATAATATTCCCTCTTCTACGACGCAGAGTGCTGATTTTAATCCCATGAGAAACGGATTCCACATGAGATGCGGACGTGTTTGATTTCGACATGATAATATCCGATAGGAATAACTAGGAAATTGGCGACACAACTAACGAGCCTACCTTGTCGGAGAGATCAGCTGGTGTAGTTACCGTGATGTCCAATTCCTTTGGTTTGACCTGATGGAGGATGCGGAGTCGGATGGCGTCGTTGGCCTTCGGTGTGGCGTTCCCGTTGTGTCGAGATGGAGCTCTGCTGAACGTGAAGTAGGCAGATAGTTGTCCAATGCTCCTCCGATCTGTGTTTTACACCACACGTCACTGATAATCCGGCTCGAAGGACCAAATGTTCGTACACTCCGCGGATGAGACGCGCTTGCTGTGTGACGCGTCGACGAGGGTCGTAAGTCCTCGTTACGAATATTTTCGACACCCGGAAGAATGCACGTGCGGATCCCTACGTCCTGTTAAGTCCGTTGGGATTAATTGGGTTTGAATGAGCTTGACAACGTGTGCAGGAAAAACTATATATTTTTGTATAATACACTTAAACTGTGTTCGTGAAAATTGTTTCGCGTGTTGTGTTACGATACCAAGTTCGTGGTATACTGGTCAAAAATCAAGTCCCGCCGGCGATCGGGACCCTGGCTATATACCCCTGGTCCCGATCGTCTTTTGGATTTTCTTCGCGCTGGGTGCAAAAGTTCGAGGCGCGTGCCGCGGAACATTCTCGGGCCTTCGAGGACCGAGAATATTCCGCGACACGTGCAATCGATCGATTTTGCACCCGGCCCGAATCGGTTGCCCCCGGCACCGTTTCTAACGGACCTCACCGATGAGTAATATAGAACATAGCAAGATTCCGTGTGCTATGGAACACTTTGAGTATAAAAATATATATTGTTAGAACTCAATGTTTCGAACAAAAATTTGGAATACTCTTTGTATTTGTTTAGAATATTATGTTTTAAGAATACAAATTTTGGTATGCAAGATCATTTAAATGACATCTTATTACAGCTCGTTGATCTCGTTTAAATCCTCAGTAAGTAATGCGTAAATAAAATTATAAAGGCATTAATACATATTAATACAAAATTGAAGGTAATCTTGAAAACTTACGATAAGAAGAAATAACAAATTTTGATATTATCACTCCGACAGTGGGATTCAATGCCATTGAATCGGTAAAGATCTATTAAAAAAAAATTATTGCAAAATTGATCTTGACCTAAAAAGTTAAGGTCAAATTTATTTTGTGATTACGTCATATTCTATTCATCGCGGGGATAAAAAATTTAAAAGGAATTGTTAGCATTCGTGGTTGATATTTCGACTTTTTGGATTTTATATAAAATTTGCATATGGTATATCAAGTACAAAAACGAGTTCGAAGGTCCACTTCTCGATCATAAGAAGGAGAAAGGAGAAATTGAAAGTATGTCGTACTTTCTAGGTGTAACCTTAATTTATTACTAATCAAAATATTTCAATTGCGTTGTGTATTGTGCTAAGGCTAAATTCCCTTCCTTCCACCCGCAGCATGTTTGAAGTAAACGGGTGAATCGCAACACACAGTGGTCGATTTCCATAAAGAGTAGGACAAAAGTGAAACAAAATTGTTGTGTATTTTGAATAATTATCCTCTGAAATACATAGTGTTTCTACATTACAATGCATTCATAACTAAACAAATTCAAATAATTGAAAATTTGTTAAATTTTTGCACTCATTTCTCGTATATACTGGAATAAATAAAACTGAAATTATTTAAAAAATTAAAAGTGTAGCTTTAGAATACTATAATAATAAAAGAAGTATGTATTCATATAATTGCTGCGGTTTATTACATACAGTATAATTTGAATTATGTGACGTGATTTCGAGGTTGCGAGCGATATTCGATGTGGATCAATTTACGCTCGTACGTACCGGAGCAAACGTTTATTTCTGTAATTTTTGCAGTAGCAGCTAGTAGCAGCTAATTTTTTTGTAGGAATAATACATTTTTTTAAGGAATCAGAAATGCGACCAAAACGAATACTATAGCCCACTGCAGTCAGAATTAAAAAATGGAATGAAAATTCAAGACGTTCAATTAGGCATAACTCAAAAAGTATCGTACCTTTCCTATTCGACAAAGTTTTTTAGTTTAATATCAGTTTCATCATACATTTTTACCGCAAATAATAATTCAAAGTGTGTCATATTGATACTTCTCTGAAAAGTTGAATTTAATACGCGTAATTTATCTATATTGTTGCACCGGGACGGGGTGTTTCTCGCACAACTCATAATAACTCAAAACTAATTGACACAAAACTAGAAACAAGAAGTTTTATTTAACAGGGCACAATCTGTACGTTTGCTCACTACGAGGTCTCACGTAATTCTCATCTTTTAAATCGTTGCCGGTTCCTCTGGCAACCGGAAGGAACGGGATCTCGCTCCCGCTCGTTCGAAGGAGCAGCTTCGCATCGTTGCGGAACAGCCTTCACGTTGTCGCAACGATGCATTTTCAGTCCGTCGCAACACTGCTCCCCCTTTTCAAAACGCGGACGTCCCGACCGCGGCAGATTCAGCTCGGACAGGCAACTTCAGCTCGGACAGGCGACTTCAGTATGAACCTCCAACCTCCAAATGTGCCTCAAGTTTAAAACACCTCTGTCTGTAAAGTAAATAAACGAATAGATCGAACATTTACCTGAGTGGCCTTTACCAGACAGTTAGCGCCTTGACATTCGTCCTCCGTCTCAAGGAAAACCACTCAAAAACCTTGAGCAAGACGCCGGTGTAACTTCAGAAATTCTTCTTCGAGGATGAGGAGATCCCGACTGCTCCTCGCCCTTCCCCTTGAATACTTGCGAGTTGCTCGCTTCTTTCTTGTAGTCTTCTCGGATGTGAGTTCCCCAGCTAAACGGAACAGTCGCCCTAGGGATTCCCAAATCATCGAGGAGAATTTCCTCGATGAAATGGTTGTCCGGAACATACGACGACTTTACAGTCCGGCCACCAGAACCCCATCCGGATGGAGGCCCGGCTGTGGGGTAACCCTCCCGGTGAGGATTACGCATCCACGACCGTTTGCGACATGCAAAGAAGAAAGGCTGTCCGCCGCCAGCAAGTAACCCCCACCCTAGCCTTCTGCGACGAGGCGTCCTCTTCTTGGGCGAAGATGTCGGCCATCCTCCTCAATCCTCATCTCCCAGTATTCTTACAGGAAACCTCCCGTGAATCGTACCGAGCGGGTCGATTCACATATACGACCCTTAGACTGGATTTCGGGGAACGGACCATACAGAAAACCAACTCATCCAACCGATTCCTCACGTCGCCTTGTCGTCACCTCCAGTAAGGACCTTGGCAGGGGACCCACAACATCGAGCACTTTCCCTTCAGAAGGTGCTCCTGCGAGCCCTATCTCTTCGAAAGGTGTTCCGACGAGTGCTCTCCTTCCAAAAGGTGCCTTGGCTAGCCCTATCTTTCCAAAGGATGCTCCTTCGAGCGCCGTCCTTTCAAAAAGGTGCTCCTACGAGCCTTATCCTTTCAAAAAGGTGCTCTTCTTCCCTTCTTCAAAAGGTCCTTCCTTCGCGGACAGCCATAACGATGACGACATACATCTTCTAAATCTCCTCGGCGATTGCTTCAACGCTGAGCAATCATTTTTCCGTGCGACGGGGTGGAAGAAGACAAAGCCGAAGTTTTTCCCTCTATGCAGACTTATTCTGATTCTTCTTGGGGCAGTTCCACCGCATATGTCCCGTTTCCCCGCAGCTCCAACATTCCATGGGCCTCTCGCTTCCAGTCTCCTCTTCCGTTGGTCTTCCTTCTCCGCCCGGAAACCTTCTCCTACGGGACTCCCCCTCCGAAAAAGGAAAAGGCTTGAGAGACCGTTCGGGCCTAATAAACGGCGTCGACACCGCCTCGACGGCTTCGATCTCAAGAGCTCTCACAACCGCGGCTTCATCTCCTCATTGGCTAGCGCGGCAATGAATTGAGAGACCACGAGCTTGTCCCTAACTTCGATTGGGCAATCGCCATACGCGGCCTGCGCTAACCTCTCAATTTCCGCCGCCAAATCGGAGATGGACTCACCTCTCCCTTGTTTGTAATTTTGAAACATTACATAGTTTAGGTTTGCGAAATTTCTCATTCCGAAACGGAATTCCAAGGCCGAAATCAACGCGTCATAACTGAAACGTTTCTCAACGGAGGGAGTCGTCAAAATGCTTCGAGCCGGCCCCTCCAACGATGAGACCAAGGCCAAAGCCTTCCTTGGTCCATCCCAACGATTCACCTCAGCAACCGTCTCAAACTGAATTTTGTGCTCCTCCCAGCAAGACTTTCCATCATACATGGAGGGCTTCAGAGTATAGCCCAAATCGGAAATACTCTGATTCACCCTCCCCACACTCTGAGGTTCTGGCTGCGAAACCGAAAGGCCCGCGAGCCCGATAGAAGTTACAGGCTCGCGCTCCCTATCGCGGACCGAAGCTCTCGAAAGCCGATCGAGAATACGCGCGACATTCGAGGACAGGACCTGATACTGGCCCTCCACGGTCCCAATCCTCTCCTCGCCCGCGGCATCCCTGGCCGAAGCGGCAGCTTTCTCCATCATCCTCCGCTCCTCAGCTCGCTCGCGTTCCTCCACGAACATTCGCTGTTGCTCCTGGAACTGCGTGGCGATATTCCGCTGCAACCCCTCCAGAAGCGACTCCAGTGTGACGGGACTTTACGCGTCACTTGAAAAAAAACACGAACTCGCGAAACTTTAAGGTAACGTGCGTACACTGTTGCCTTCTGTCGCGACTTATGCCGTAGCTGATGATAAGGGACGGACAGAGTAACGTTACGCGAGTCTCGACTTGTGAAATACTGGTCTGTGCTTTATTTTGGCGAAGGGTTTATAAAGGTCGGTATGGCCGTAGAGTAGGGGTGCTTGGTTTTGGGCCTGATGTCTGACTCAGCTGTTGTTGCTACTAGGTGGTGATGTGGATGGTGACTCAGATGTTATTGCTGCGTGGTGAAGATATGGATGGTGATTCAAATGTTTTTGGCGAGGAGTGCTGACGCGGTTGTTTGTACTGACGAATGCGGGTGGTATCACACCCCCTTTCCTAGATTCGTTTTGGTCCTCCAAAACGTACGATTTTCTTTGGTCGTGATGGAATTCGTGGGAGCTCATCCAGAGGATACATCAGTGGGTTTTCGTTCGTAGATGTTGATGGTGCTGTAGCTATTGGGGTTGAATGCGTGTTTTGCGCGCCTCCACGGTTATTTACATTGACTTCGTTACAACAAATCTTAAGACAAAATGTTTTTGGTATAAGTTTTGACAATAAAGTGAATAATCCTGTTTTATAAAATGCATAAGAAATTATAAGTCCTAACGATATCCAACCTGCGATTTTGAAAATATTGTATGCTATTTCTGCTGTAGTTAATATACGTCGCTGTGTTTTTATATCGTTTAACTGTGAATTCATACTATCTAAAGTCTGTCGGTAGCTATTGAAATTTGGAGTTACTCTTGGAGCTTGTGGAATATATTCTTGTAGCATTTGTATATCTGATTCAGTAAAGTTTATGTGTATTGCATAGTTAGAAATTATCATTTGAGTGTTCTGCGTTGTACCTCCAATTTTCATTATATTATTGTTGTACATGAGAATACATTCGTCTTCGCTGGTTAGTATGGCTGGTGTATTAAGTGTAATATGCTCCATTTTAGTACATAATGCTTGAATTTCTATCGGTTCTTTGGGTATTGCTATATATTTATTTGGTGTATGCATGGGGATAAATGTTATGTCGTCTATTCTAAATATTGCTGTTCCGCATTGTTTATAGTCTTTTGAGTTCTGGCAACCCATGTAATAATCGTGTCGTGTAGGTTGTGTTCTTTCGCATATTAATCCTATAGGGCTGTCTCTACAATATTTCTTCAAATAAGCTTCGTCAATTATAATTTGAGAGATTTGTTGTTGCATTATCATGTCATGATCTAATATCGGTGAGAAGAACACGTTTTTTATTTTGTGGGGAATGGCGTAATATTTTATAATGCTCCACTCGGATTCTTCCAATATAGGTACAATAATTTGGTATATGAGCGCGTTGTCTACTGTTTGTGTCTTTAATCTACTAATGTCTATCAATGTCTGAAAGTTTTTTGGTTTTGCTGGTATATAATGCATCATGAAGTTATCTCGCAATATCGTATCATAAGCTTCTAGAAAGTGTGCAGTTTGTATTAAAGTTGTATCAATTATTCCCCGCTTCCCTAGTATAAGAGTTAAATAAAAGTCGTTAATTCTACTGGTCAGATCTGTTAAAAGTGCTTCTAAAATAATAATATTTTGTTCTAACAATAAGTCATTTTGTAGTTCGTGTAATTCCTTTGAGTTCTTCTGCAGTTTATTAGTTAAACTGTGGAAATTGTTGTCAGTCAGTAAAGCTTTAAACATTATCGTCTGATTCTGAACTATCTTGGTTAATTGATTTTGATCGCTAAATAATTTGTCAATGTTTTGGTTTACAAGAGTTAGATCGTCTTCATCTAACGTACCAAATAATGCTTTGGATGCGGATCCGATGATATTCAATATTCCTCGTCGGTTTCTCTTATGCAGTATGGTATCCAGTTTTATTATTGATTGATCCAAGCGTGATAATTTATTTTGTATAATATCGTAGCCGAATAAGTCGCAATTATAATCCTGACAATAGTTATGTACCGCTAAAGCTAATGAGTGTATCTGTTGCGCATTTTGAGTTAATTCGGTTATCTTAAACGCTATGGTTATTTTGATCTCCTTATGGTATACAAAGTTCTTTCCTATGATCTCTTTTACAATTTGCGTGTTGTTAATTGGCCGAATACTTACAGCGTTAGTAAGTATTGTTAGGTTGGTTATTATCTGGAATTGGAATGATACAGTTTTATACGATTGCCGTGGGTTAGTAAGGTCTTATTTTTGTTTATTCTAAGGAGGTAATTTGGCGTCCTTATTTCTATTATTTCATATGGGCCTGACCATTCTCTGTCTAGTTTGTGACTCTTGTGATCGTTATGTAAAAGTACTAAATCCCCTTGATTGTATATAGTTTTTAAACGAATTTTACGGTCTTGTTCACGTTTATACCGTTTCTTGTTTGACTCTATTATTTTCTTTGCGTTTTCTAAATATTCTTTATGTCTCTGTTTCCAAAGTTTAAACAGTTCATCTTTACTCAGATGAGGGGTGGTGGATATAGCCGAAGGCATATTTGCTTCATGTCCGAAAGTTAGTTCGAAAGGGGTATATCCAGTACCAGAATGTACTGAGGTATTGTAAGCCATGCATATTAATTTTAGATGTTCATCCCATTCGGTTTTTCTTTCATTAATACAAGTTCTTAGCAAGTCTTTTACAGTTCCGTGAGTTCTTTCTAGAGCTCCGTTACTCTGGGGGTGGAAACTGGTAGTTTTGATGTGTTTAATTCTGAAGGCCTTTTCAAACGATTCCATTAATTTGCATACGAAATTCTGTCCCTGATCAGTCAGGATATGTTTAGGTGAGGAAAAGGTATAAATGTAGTGTTCCATCAATTGGTCAATAATAGATTCGGCTTTTTGGTTGGCTAAGGGAACTAATATTAAATATTTCGTTAGGCAATCTTGAATTGAGAGTATGAACTGGTTTCCTTTTGCAGTAACGTTAAATGGGCCTATAATGTCTAAAGCAATCTTATCGTTCGGATTTTGCGGGGTGTCAGGTATAACAGCTTCCTCTTTCGATCTAATCCTAGTGAGTTTATTCTTTTGGCAAATATCACAGTGTTTTATGTATTTTGTTACGTCGTTGTCAATGTTCGTCCAATAGTACTTTGCCTTTATTCTATCGATGGTTTTATTTTCTCCTAAATGTTGTACATTGTCGTGGTTCTCAATAAGTATCTGTTTCTTTTCGTCTTCCGTGTAGTCTCGTATAGGGGTCTGCGCAAAATGAAGTTTCTTGTCGGGATAATCTTTCATAAGGAATCTGAGCATTAACTGGATGTCGATAATATGCAAAGGTTTTAAATTCGTTCCGATACCGAAGGATATAGAGGGTTTGTTATGTTGTAATGCCATTAAGTCGTGTAGTCTGTTTAGCCATGTGGCTTCGTCGTGAGGTCCTAACAAGTCTTTCGTTAATTGAGTCCATTGTGGTCTATTAGCTACTGTTTTTATGGGGGCGGCTGTCGGTTCCTTTTTCCAGTCTATATATTCATTGTATAAGTCATTCTGAGGAGAAGATAATTCTTGAATGTCGGGTGACTCGTCTTCAATTTCTAACGGGGATGGAAGTTTGACAATTTTAATCTTTTGGGTAAACGGTTTGTTTTCTGTTACTTTCAGAGGATGTAATCTGGACAGAGCATCTGCAACTACGTTTTCTTTTCCCTGTTTATAATGAATCTCGTATTCGTACTCTTCGAGCCTCAAGCGCCAACGCATGAGCCTGGAAGATGGGTCTTTTACGTTGTGAAGCCATTTCAAAGACTGATGATCGGTAAAGATATGAAATTTTCGTCCGAGGAGGTATTGTCGCAGTCGTTTGATGGCCCAAACGATAGCGAGTAATTCCTTCTCAGAGGTAGTGTAATTTTTTTCTGCACTATTTAATGTTCTAGAAATGTAGCAACATGGATGGTCCTTTTGGGATAAAACGGCTCCGATACCTTCATTACTGGCGTCCGTCGTTAGTGTGAATGGTTCGTCAAAATTTGGATAACATAGGATGGGTGCCTCACATAATTTCTGTTTTAGTGTCTCAAAAGCGTTAGTCTGTTTCTCTGTCCAATGGAAAGGATTCGTCTTCTGCGTAAGGTCAGATAATGGTTTGGCAATTTTGGCAAAGTTTCTAATGAATTTCCTGTAGTATCCGGTTAACCCGAGGAAAGATTTTATTTGTGTGATGTTGCTCGGAATTTTGAAGTGTTTGATAGCCTCTAATTTCTTGGGGTTAGGTTTAACTCCTTCTGCCGTAACTATATGGCCTAAATACTCTAGTTCAGGTTTCAAAAATTGACATTTGTCTATTTGTAGTTTTAGTCCGGTCTCTCTCAATCTCTGGAATATTATGGCTAAGTTTCTGTTGTGTTCTTCTATAGTACTTCCGAATATTATAATGTCGTCTAAGTAAACAAAGCAATATTTGTCTACAAGTCCTCGTAAAGCGGTGTCCATCAGTCGTTGGAATGTCGCGGGTGCATTTTTGAGTCCGAAAGGCATACGATTATAGTGAAAGTGTCCGTCAGGTGTCGAAAATGCTGTGTATTTTTTACTTTGTTCAGCCATAAGAACCTGGTGAAATCCAGAGGATAAATCAAGGGCTGAGAAAAATTTAGCGTTTCCTAAGTGTTGCAATATTTCGTCAGAATTCGGTAATGGATAAGCGTCGTGGTCGGTTTGTTCGTTTAATCTCCTGAAATCTATCACTATTCTCCATTTTTGTTTACCAGAGGCGTCTAATTTTTTAGGTACTACCCATACCGGTGCGTTAAATGGTGAATCTGATTCTTCGATAATTCCTTTATCTAACATTTCCTTAACTTGTTTGTGGATTTCTTGTTTATGGACTTCTGGTGGACGATATGACTTGATATTTATGGGTCTATCTGTCTTTAGTTTTATAGAGTGTTGTGTTAGTGTGGTACAAGGGAGTGGATCGATTTCTAATGCAAAAATATCATTATATGAACAAACTATTTTAGCTATAGGGTCTCGAAAGGAGGTTTCTATATGATCTAGACGCAATTTCGTTAGCAATTCATGGATTCTGTTTATATTTTCCTCTTTAGGTTCAATTGAATTTGATGTAATCGTGCTGAACTTACCAGTATTAATGAAGCAAACCCTCGTAACATCATCGCCGATCTTACAATATCTCGCAGTACAGGTTTCAGGTGGGATTTCTATTTCCTTGGGCGTGCTCTGTAAGCGAAAGGTTGTGTTATCAAGTTGTACTGTATCATTTTGAATGGTATACTGATACTTTTTGAGAAATGGAAGTCCAACTATACCATCTTCTATTAAAGGGAAGTTATCTGGAACGATTAAAAAGTTATGTGTTTGGCCTAAGATCCTAAATGTATAGAAATGTGTTATTTGATGCAAGTCGTTTCCTAGTTGTATCGTCTTGGTGTGTTTCAACGGTATTATATTATTTACAAATCTTCGTTTGAGGAGGTTGACTCCTGCTCCGGTGTCCAGTAAGAATCTTCCTGGTCGTAGCATTCCTGCGAAACTACATCGTAGGTGTTGTAGTTCTCCTGGGGTGTAGTGAACTCGCAGTCTCCTTGGTCCTCCGTCTCCTTCATGTGGTTTACTCTCGGTGGCGGTAGTTTCCCGAATTGAGCGGTCGGAAAATTTTGCTGCTTCAGACGAAAGCAGTTTTGTTTGAGATGTCCCTGTTTTCCACAATGTTCGCATGATACCGGTCGTGGTATCTGTTGTTGAGGATTGTTGGCTGGTTTAGGTATGAAACTCGGCGGTCGTATCAAAGGTCTTGGCTGGTTATAAGTCATTGTTCTTGGCGGCATGTAGGGTCGTTGAGGTTGTGATGTGGGCCTGGTATCTTTACACCACACTTCGATGTTCATTGCTTCATGTTGTGCCTCGATTAGCGTCTTGGGTCTCATGGGTACGACATACTGGGCTATTTCTTTTTTTAAGTTATAAATGTAGAATTTTACTGCTTCTAAATTTTCTTCCTCCAATGCTATATTTCTTGCTATAGGGTTACGGTGTTTTGCTTGAATCGCGTATTCCAGTTCACTCATTGCTTGTTTAAAACGAGCGGTATAGGATTGTACATTTTCCGTGATCCCTTGTTTTATAGTCTGCATCTTGTTTCTGCTTCCGCTAACCGTGACTGGTAATGACACTTGGGTTCTCAGTGCCTCGTACAATTCATCATAGGTCTGGATACGGCAAAATCTGATACTCCTCTTGGCGTGACTAACTATTTTCTCGGTTATTATCATGCGGAGTAGGCTTTCCGGATCGTTGACTCTATTTCTTGCGAACCGTACCGATTTGATAAATTCTTCGACTCCGATGTCATCTTTCCCGTATAAGGTTTCTACCATGCGCAACGCGTCTGCAGTTTTAAGGTTACTCACGGTTGTTGCGGGTGCTGTTGATGTGTGTGAGCGAGGTTCCGCCCTTGCTGTGCGGAGATCACCTTCGTCGTCGGTGAGTTCCATTTCGGTGGCTGGTCTTCTCGATGCCTCGATGGAACGTCCATCTTCCGTGCTGACTACGAATCCTAATTGGACGCCTAGCTTCTTCAATTCGCCTGCTTGCTCTACTCTTTCTTCGTCTAGCACTTTAACGGTTTGCAAGAGTTTCCGTAATGCTTCGTCTTGTTTTCTCATTGTTTCCTCTTGCCTTTTCATTTGCGTCGTGATCATTTCAAGATGGGAAAGAATACTCCTCATATCTCCCTGATCTTTAATTGGTGTACTCATTTTTTTTTCTTTACCTTTAGCTCGAATCCTGGTGCAAACTGATAGAATGGCTCTCGTAGTCCCAAGCTGTGGAGATGTCCGTAGGCTTCTCGTAGTCTTGTTTATCCTCAGTTGTGCACGAATGGATCCTGGCAGGATCGCCAAAATGTGACGGGACTTTACGCGTCACTTGAAAAAAAACACGAACTCGCGAAACTTTAAGGTAACGTGCGTACACTGTTGCCTTCTGTCGCGACTTATGCCGTAGCTGATGATAAGGGACGGACAGAGTAACGTTACGCGAGTCTCGACTTGTGAAATACTGGTCTGTGCTTTATTTTGGCGAAGGGTTTATAAAGGTCGGTATGGCCGTAGAGTAGGGGTGCTTGGTTTTGGGCCTGATGTCTGACTCAGCTGTTGTTGCTACTAGGTGGTGATGTGGATGGTGACTCAGATGTTATTGCTGCGTGGTGAAGATATGGATGGTGATTCAAATGTTTTTGGCGAGGAGTGCTGACGCGGTTGTTTGTACTGACGAATGCGGGTGGTATCACACCAGCGACGACAAAGCCTCCGCCCCGGCAGCAGAACGAGTCACTATCCCACTTCTGACACCACTGTTGCGCCGGGACGGAGTGTTTCTCGCACAACTCATAATAACTCGAAATTAATTGACACAAAACTAGAAACAAGAAGTTTTATTTAACAGGGCACAATTTATACGTTCGCTCACTACGAGGTCTCACGTAGTTCTCATCTTTTAAATCGTTGCCGGTTCCTCTGGCAAACGGAAGGTACGGGATCTCGCTCCCGCTCGTTCGAAGGAGCAGCTTCACATCGTTGCGGAACAGCCTTCAGGTTGCCGCAACGATGCATCTTCAGTCCGTCGCAACAATATGTTTATACCATTTCGTAGGATCATTAATTGAAAATTTCGTTAGAATCGGAATAATTGTTCTATTTAATTTCTCTACTTGACCATTAGTTCGCGGTAAGCCTGCTGTTATTTATAAGCATTTAATATTTTCTTTCACGCAATAATCTTTAAATTCTTTCGAAGTAAATGCTGTACCTTGATCTGATATAATCTGTTTTGGACTTCCAAAATTTTTGTTTGTATATCTAATTTACATAAGACTTCTCTCGTCGTCGTCGACTTTGTCGGATACAACCAAATAAACTTAGTAAAACTATCAATAATAACAAAAATATGGTTGTAACTTTTGCTTGTAGTATCTAAGGGGCCTAAGTGATAGATATGATATGTATGCAATGTAATATCAATTTTTGTAAGAAACCTTCTTGTTTGCCCTGTTTGTAATTTGCCATAATGCACGGAACACTACTAGAAATATAGTGCTGAATCTTTTGTTCAAGATTAGGTACATAATAATCTTGTTTTATAAATTCCTCTGTTCGTTTCAACGTAAAATGTCCTCTTCGATGTGCCAATTGAATTATTTCTCCTTCTAACAATTTTGGTAGGACCAACACTTCTCAGTCATCCACAAATTTATATAACAAATTGTTGTGTATACAGTAATTATCATAAGGATGATCTTTTAAAATTTCCATAATAGCTTTAATCTCTCCATGATTTTCCTGAAACTTTTGCATTTTAACATGTAGAGGATCTTTAGCAATTTGTAAAACTGAATATCTACAGCAGCGACGCAGCGCCACAAAACATTTCTGTACAGCGCCAACCAAATTTATTAAAAATAAAAAACGAATTTTTAATAAAACTCGACAAGGGAGTGCCTAAATTTTTAGACGAAAAAAAAAATTTCAAATCGTTCTAAAAAAATTATTTTCAGTTGCAGGGGTCAATTACAATAATTTTTGGTGAATAGACATACTCTCGAAATCTTCCACATTTTTGAGAAAAAAATTCAGTACAGGCGGAACTTTAAACGTTAATAACTTTTTAACGAAGCCTCCATCAACAAATTGGTATTCTTGATTTTCGTCTTATTTTAGCCTCTAAAATCTCCCATTAAAATTTCATCCAGAGGTGGCCGAACACCCTGTATATGGTTGTTCGAAACTAAACTAAATAACTCCTAAACTATTCAATTTTCGACCTAAAGTCTCTAATACTTTTTTCAAGAGGATACAAAGATGCATCGATTTATGACAAAAAGAAAATACAATTTTACTAAAAAAATTAAGGTGATCTTAATTTTTTATTGAATAAAAAGGTTTTTATAATGAGAAAAATCAGCACCGTTTGTGAAAGAAATTTTGCGTTTCATTATTGATGGAATGAAAAAGAAATGGCTTTGTCACGTAGCCGTGCATAACAATGATACGGCCGTGCCGACTTATGTCGAGACGCTGGGCTGCACAGTGTGCGCAGCAATGGACAAAAATCAAAAAACTAAAGTGCATGTTTTACAAATTCTTATACCCCAATGTTAATAAAGAAACGCAGATTTTAACACTATCCATAACTTTTACTGAATTTATCAATTTGTTGTGGATAATGATGCCAGAAATTTATTGCAATTTTCGGTGCATTTTCTTAAACATGTGCCATTTACCGAAAATTTGTGTTCTTAGTTTGATTTTTGCAAGTTGTGTACATTATTGTAGTACCTTCCAAACTGCTAAACAATCTTTTTACAATATTAACAATTGGTCCCAATTTTTTATGTTAAATGTTTATCAACTTTGAATTGAGTTTAAAAAAAAATACCTCGATGATTTTTTGCATATTAATTTAGGGCACATTAAACTTTAATTTAACGGCAATTTTAGTTGCCCGAATTTGCAATTACTGATACCTGCTCCGAATCAGAATCGGAATTAATCCAATAAAAAATGTTCTTTTATTTATTTACAAGATAAGAAATTGTATCTATATCAATTTTATATTTTAATTAAAAAATAATAAAGGAAAAACATTATACAGATGCAAAATTATGATTTTCTTTCCGAATACCCATATACTCGAAATAATCGCTACGATATTTGAGGCACTTCCTCTAAGCTAATCAAAAAACTTTTCGCACAAAAGTTACACAGTAATCACTTGGCAAGAAATTGCAATAGTAGAAATTAGCAAAACAATTTTTATGCAACAAAAAATCAAGGTCGATACAATTTTTTTTAACAAAAATGTATAATTTTTGTGTATCACTTCATGCATTTTTGTATTCTCTTTAAAAAAGTGTAAGAGGAGTTAGGTAAAAAATTGACTAGTTTAGAAGCTATGATTTTTGTTCTGAATTCCCATTTACGCGACACACTGCGCTGTGCCGAATGGCAAATGCCGAGCCGTGTCGACGCAGTGGAGACGTAGCTTAATTGATTTGACATTGAGGTTAGATATGTTATTGTAAGATGTTACGATTGGTAACTTTTAGAGTTCCAACATTAACAAACAGAATGTGTGTGTGGTGGGATATCAGAGGAATCATTCACTTTGAACTTTTAAATCAAAATTTGACTGTAACAACAGAAATGTATAGCCAACAACTTGACC